GGGGGGGGGGGGGGGGGGGGGGGGGGGGGGGGGGGGGGGGGGGTGGCATAGGTGCGGGGGATTGCAATCCACGTGCCCTCCTGAAGAATCCGAAAAGGGGCTCCGTGAAGAGACTATTGAGCGGGTGGGGGTGGAAAATGCAGTGTGGTGACAGTCCCGCGCATGGTTGGATTACGCATTACCGTGATCGTGATGCGCACACGGCGGTGGTTGGATATTCCGGCCTCTGCGTGTGCAGTCTCGTGACCCGCATACGTACGACTGCGCCCATCGACTTCTCCGTGCCAAACGTGTGTGTGTTTGTCGACTCTACTGTGTCAAAGCGGTCCTATCGCCTAGGTCCCCCCGCGCGCGGAGACAAGGCATGCCTCACGACGAGAGCTCTCGCCTGGTGGGAGGGAAAGGTGATAAGGACAGAAAAGGAACGGTGCGCTGGAAGGGCGTCGCCGCGCCCGTGATAGCATTGTTCCTTGCCATCGGGGTCTTTGTGGCAGCTACATTTCCAGGGCGGTTAGTTTCTGTGAAGAAGGAGGCAAACCGTCAGGAGCTCCTTGCGGTTTCGGGTGGACGCAGCACGACGTGGGAGTGCGGCACATCAACGGAGCCCGTGCTGAACGGCGCTGATGTCGTGAGCTACTTCTCCCTCAAGGAGGGGGAAGCGGCCATGTATGGCTTCGAGGAGTACCAAGTGAAGTACAATGGCTACACATTTTTGTTCGCGTCCGCACAGAACAAAGTTCTGTTTGAGGTGAGCAGCCATAGAGCATGTTTGATGTACACTGCGGTGCGGAGGAATTCTGTGTCGCGTACACTCAAAAATTCAACGCCGACGAAATCTCGCGTGTCGGTAAGGTACACTAGCAGTGTGCAGCCAACAATGTCTGTTGAGGCCCATGATTATGGTTTCCAAATCTTTTATCTTCCTTTCTTTGGACAAATGTTGGCTTTTTCGACCTTGTGGGCAGTCTGCCTCCCGAACGAATGCGAATCAGCTGTTCGACCTTTGAGAACAATCACAGCTTTGGCTGAGATGTCTACAGATCGCCTACATTTTTCGCCAGGGCCGAGGTTTGATTTTTTCAAGGTGCGCAATTTTCACGCAAGATTTTCCCAACACCAGCTTTTGGACAGATGTTGGCCCAAGATTTGCTCCGAGGCGGCCTTTCGGCCGAATCTTCAACATCTTGCTCTGCTGGAAAAAACTCAAACGTGGACCCTGGCGAAACATGTAGTCTAGGCGATCAGTAGACATCTCAGCCGAAGCTGTGACTGTTCTCAAAGGTCGCATAGCTGATTCGCACTCGTTCGGGAGGCAGACTGCCCAACAGGTCGAAAAAGTCAACATTTGTCGAAAGAAAGGAAGTTAAAGATTTGGAAACCATAAACATGGGCCTCAACAGACATTGTTGGCTGTGAACAGGACATATCTATGGATTCATCGGTCAGTTTTCAATCGGCGGGTTCTAACTCATCGAACACTCTAAAAACAAGTGATTTTCGGCCCTTTTCGCCTGCTGCCACGAACGTGAGCAACTTCAACGCAAATCACCGCCGATGAAATCGTAGCTCTCCTTCTCAGCAAGGTGACGCAAAAAGCCACGCTAGAATCCACTGCGTCATCGTCGCGCAAACGAATCCCCAGATCGGGTACTCATCGGGTACTCATGGGTACGTCTGGGAAGAAAAAATCGCCGGACTCGAGGAAAAAACGAAAGCAAGAGTTCTCGAGACAAAACGAGATATGTGTCGAAAAACATGGTATGACGATGGAGGCCAGAGCGTCGCAAGCAAGGTTCGACGGGCTGGTGAGGAGGACAGACGTCAAGGAGTTGACACGGAGCCGCGACGCCGCAACGGCGAAAGCTGACGCCGCCCGCGTACAAAAGAACAAGGCGAACGCGGCAAAGAGAAAGGCGGAGAGAAGCAGCAGAAGAAAAAGAAGCAGCAGCAGCAGAAAAAGTTGAAGCAAGCAGGCAGCGAGAGCTACGCCAGGTAGCAGCACAAGCTGATAGGGAGCGGGGTGGTAGGCAGTCGTCTTAGGTTCGTGGGCGCGGGCGGAGGCAAAGCGAGCGCGTTGGTGGCCGGAGCACCTGGGATGATGTGCGAGATTTTTTTTTTTTTGTGCGTGTGTTTTTCTTGCTGCTGCTGCTGCTGCTGCTTCATTTTTTCGGTGAAATGATTTTTGTGCCACGGCACAAAGGCTGTACCGCCGGCGCTACTACACCTCTTTCTGCCGTTGCTGCGCCACCAGTAGCACTGGCTTACGTACTTGCTGCGCAGTACCTCTTCCGCCTCAGGCAGGCGAGGAAAGGTTGCAAGCGTGGGCAGTTTCTTTTTGATGTGTTGTGTCAAATCAACTTTTTTTTTTCGTGTTGAATAAAAAAATATGCCTGCCATCATCCATCAACTTCGGCGTTTCTTTCGTCATCGCCTACATTTGTGTCACGGCGCAAAGGCTGTACCGCCGGCGGTACTGCAGCTCTTTCTATCGCAACTGCGCCATCAGTAGCTCTGGCTTATACACGTGCTGCGCAATACCTCTTCGACCTCGTGCAGGGGAGGAAAGGTCGCGAGCGGGGGCAGTGCCTTTTGGGTGGCGTTGCGTTGTTTCAAACGACGTTTTTTTTNCCTCTTTCTGCCGTTGCTGCGCCACCAGTAGCACTGGCTTACGTACTTGCTGCGCAGTACCTCTTCCGCCTCAGGCAGGCGAGGAAAGGTTGCAAGCGTGGGCAGTTTCTTTTTGATGTGTTGTGTCAAATCAACTTTTTTTTTTCGTGTTGAATAAAAAAATATGCCTGCCATCATCCATCAACTTCGGCGTTTCTTTCGTCATCGCCTACATTTGTGTCACGGCGCAAAGGCTGTACCGCCGGCGGTACTGCAGCTCTTTCTATCGTTACTGCGCCATCAGTAGCTCTGGCTTATACACGTGCTGCGCAATACCTCTTCGACCTCGTGCAGGGGAGGAAAGGTCGCGAGCGGGGGCAGTGCCTTTTGGGTGGTGTTGCGTTGTTTCAAACGACGTTTTTTTTTTGTGTTGATTCAAAATACATCTGCCTTCATCCATCGCGGATTCTTTATCACATCTCATCGTCATCCTCCCCGCTCAGCTCGTCGGACAGACCACTCTCAGACTCCGATTCCGACACAACATCGTCGATCACGCTCCTAACCTGCCACTCGGGGCCATGATTTGTGGCGCCGGTCAGCAGTGAGGTGGTCGCAGGTCTAGTTTGGTCACGAGGGAGCACACTCATCAACCCCACCGCGGTGTGTTGTCCGTGTATGCGTTGTTGTTCGCGCGCATCCACGCCCGCTCAAAAATTAAAAAAAATAAACAAGCCATCGCAGCACATGTTCAGTCTGTTCGCCCTGGAAATGGACGCCGCTGTCAAAATTAGTCGGCTTTGATTGGCTTGGCAACGAAAAAAAAAAGAAAAAAGTATAATCGAAAGAACCTCCGCGTTACAGAATTTGGGCGCAAAAACAGGGTCAGGCGCAGGGCTAACAGTGGACCACGAGCAGAAATGTCGACATCTCTTGTCAGGAACAAGAGATTTTGATAGGCTTCAATAGGTATCCTTTGTCGAAAATATCACATGTTGCATGTTCCTTTCGACATCCGTTGTCATAAACGACAGAATTTCAAAGTTTCTATCAAAATGCATTATCAAGGCAATGTGTTTCTACAAGCGTGATCGATTGCATTGTTAGCTGCACTACATGTCGAGGTTAAACGCTCTACTGATAAATATTGTCGACAGCCAATGATTTCGAGACACAACATGGACAGATACTGTCAACGGCAAAAAATCCCCAAGTTTGCATCGACGTAACTCTCCCATGACAAACGGTTTGAGGGTTTCTTCCTTACGTTTCTATACCAACAACGTCCGCAGAGTGAAAGCAATCGAAATCTGTTGTTGCCAATGTCTAGATGAAACCTTCTTCTTTGCATTCCGTACTGTTCTTACCTAGCTCCTCTCGTCGCCGCTGCTGGATCACAGATCGCCCCGGTGGTCTAGTGGGTAACCTCGCAGCCTCCTAAGGGCCAGGTTATGGGTTCGAGTCCCGGCAGAGTGAGTCTTTTCCTCACTAAATAAATCCTGGTCTAGGATGAAAGCGACGCGTCGCAAAGCTCGTTGTTAGTAAACCATAATGGACTTCGTAAGTCGCGAGGGAAGGGATTGCTGTACCCTTCTCGCGATAAAAATACCTCAGGCAGGAACCGCAGGAGGGGGTTCAGCCCCCCCCTCCTATGTGACCCCGGTTGGGTCGTCTAGCTAGTAGAAGTGGAGGATAGGGGCCAGAGGGGCAGACGACAGAGTCCAATGATGGGAGAAA